CGTCTGTCCGTCTGTCCGTCTGTCCGTCTGTCCGTCTGTCCGTCTGTTTCAATACCGTTTGCGAGCTCAGTTTAAAAGCTAGCGATCTGAAACTTTCACACTCGTCCTAAAACATGTGTACGCAGATCAAGTTTGAAAATCGCCCCGATCGGACGTCTATATCCTATGGCTCCCATAGGAACAATCGGATATATCTTTCAAGAATTGATGATATTTCGCGCAGTGTAAAAGCTATTGACATGAATCTTTCCAAATCGTATTTTTTTATGCATACCTTGATCAGGGTAAAAGCGCGTGGCGATCGGACGTCTATATCCTATAGCTCCCATAGGAACAATCGGATATAACTTTCAAGAATGGAAGATATTTCGCGCAGTGTAAAAGCTATTAACATAAATCTTTCCAAATCTTATTTTTTTATGCATACCTTGATCAGGGTAAAAGCGCTTGGCGATCGGACGTCTATATCCTATAGCTCCCATAGGAACAATACGGTGAAATCGGTTAAAATTTAATGATTTTTAGGATATTTCGCACAGTATATAAGCAATTGACATGAATCTTTCCAAATCGTATTTTTTTATGCATACCTTGATTAGGGTAAAAGCACGTGACGATCGGACGTCTATATCCTACAGCTCCCATAGGAACAACAGGGTGAAATCGGTCCAAATTTGTTGGTTTTCTGAATTTTTCGCGTAGTGTGTAAGCTACTGACATACATTTTTCCAAGTCTTATTTATTTACGCATATCTTGATTAGGGTAAAAGCGCTTGCCGATCGGACGTCTATTTCTTATAGCTTCCGTAGGAAAAATAATTAAAGGCTGCGAAAGTATCCCTTTTTTTCCTTTTTTATATGACATTTTTGCAGTATAAAAGCAATTGACATCAAACGACGCAAATCTAGTTTATTTATGTATATCTTATTCCTTTCGCTACTTTTTCAGTTTTAGCAACTTCGGCAAAGTCTGCAAGGGTATTAAAACTTCGGCTTGCCGAAGTTAGCTTCCGTCCTCGTTCATTATAAAAATAATTTGATTCTTATTACGAATAAGCCAATAAACAATTTCAGTTTGAACATTGTACGTTATATAATATGTAATATAAAAATATTTAAAATAAATAAAAAAGCTGTCCCCTAGAAAAGAAAATTATGAACTCCCCCTTAATTTAAAACAATTAAAATAAAACCAAAAATATAAAAAAATAAAAAACAATAAAACTTAGCATTTATTTATTTATTATAAATGATAGAATAGTTTATAAAACCAAAAAAGCCATTGCTATTTATTAATGGACCCTGTTCATAACCCGCAACTGTAAAGTATATTAAGGTTCATATCCTTCCTGCCTTAAAAACATTTTTAAAAATTAATTTATTAAATGTATTCCCAATACTTATTTAAATAATAAGTATTAAGGAAATTCCTGTACTTTAGACAGCGATTCGATAAATAGTATTTTCATTTGGATTGTTACCTTTTTACTTCTATTAGAACGCTTTTAATCGATTGAACAGTAGTGTTCAACGATTCAGCAATTCATTAGCACAGAGATGTAGTTTCTACCCCAACTGTTAGGTGGCCATCCAGATCCTCCAATCTAGTAGCTTTTGAATTTTCCTGGATGACAGTTGTCGCCATTTGCCCTTTCCCCATTTTCATTTGGTAGCAGTCATCCGAAGTGAAAGCAACTCAGCAGCAGCTCCTGAACACAGAAAAAAGTGAACGTGTAATATTTTCGCAGAGCAAGAGGTCAGGTCCAAAGATGCCCAAAGATAAAGGAAGCAAGGCTAAGGATGGGGTTGAGCCGCCCACCAAGCGGCAGAGGAAGGATCGACGGGATCGCAAGGAGGTAATCCCCGCCGGGGGAGGAGGAGGAGCAGCAGCAGCTGGTCCAAGGGTGAGGAACAGGTCGCCCACCCCCTCGATCGCCTCGGAGAGCAGCGATTGGAGCGACAGCGAGTCCAGCTACTCGGACCCCAGCTTTAGCTCCACCTTATCCTCCAGCTTCTCCAGCTTCTCCAGCTGCTCCAGCTCCACCAGCAGCAGCTCCTCGTCGAGCGACAGCGATGTGGAGGCGGGTGGCTCCACCAGGAAGGCGGATCGAAGCACCAGGAAGCACTCCTGCTGCCGCCATCGGCACCATCACCGCCATCCGCGCCACCACCACCCCTCGCGCCACTCGCACCGCCGTCGTGGGCGTGGCAGCCGTCACCATCGCTCCGCCCACGGCCGCTCCACGAAGCGGTCCTCCAGGAAGGGGCGTCGCGGCGCCACCTCCTCCTCCGCTAAGGAGGAGGCTCCAGCCGAGCAGGCCATCCAGATACCGGACCCAGTTCAGGAGGAGGAGCCAGAGGAGGAGCCAGAGGAGGAGCCAGAGAAGGAGGAGGCCGAGGAGGAGGAGGCCGAGGGCAGCCAAGTGACCCATCGCAACGGCAAGCCCACCATCAAATTCCGCCAGCCCGTCCGGAATGTGCGTCTCCACATCAAGGGACTCACCCGCCAGGTGACCAAGGAGGACATCACCGAGATCTTTGGCCGTTTTGGACCCCTCACCGCCGTCGACTTTCCCACTGACCGCTACCAGGGGCGCCAGGCGCGTGGCTACGTCTTCGTGGAGTACGCTCGTCCCGACGACTGCGCCTGCGCCATCAAGCGCATGAATGGCGGCCAGATCGACGGCAAGCGGATCACGGTGTCCGCCTTCCAGGAAAACATGCTGAAGGCTCCGTGGCGCCACTACCGCCGCTACTCGCCGGTGAATCGCCGCCACCGCCACCGCCACCACTCGCCGTCCCGCTCTCGCGCACGCTCCCTATCCCGCTCTCCGTCCCGCTCCCGTTCGCTGAACTTCTCCCGCTCCCACTCCCGTTCTCGCTCCCATTCCCGCCCGCACCGCCGCTACCGCAACCCCTCCCGCTCCCATTTTCCGAGCGGCCGCTCGTCGCCGCGCTACGGGCATTACCAACGCCCCGCATCGCGTTCGCCTTAGGCAGGCCGCACTGTGGACGAGGACAGGAAGAGCCAGATAGACGACAGCGAAGTCCAGCCACTCTTTTAACTTTTTAATCTAATTATTTTCCACACAAATAAAGATTCCTGGCAACAAAATGTGGTTGGGGATTTGTTTTTTGGGGTCTTAAAAGGCCCAAAGATAATCTCCCAATTTCAAAAACAAACAAAACCATTGAGACACTATTCTAAGAAAACATCCAGGATGTTTATCAATTAACTCTTTTCTTTACAAATTATTTTACAAATATTTATTTAAGAGGCACTATGCTTTATGTTAAGTCTCATACCACTGATTATCTGGCAGATATGGGATATTTTATAAACCCTTTTAGTTCTTCATATATGAGATCAGGCAGAGCAATACACTTACTGTTTGCACTGCTGAATTTTAAATAACGGTAAGCCCAATAAAAAAATACAGAAGGAACGGTACTTTGTTTTTATACTACTTCCAAATCGGTTTTCAATCCATTTTTCGAAAATTTTGAAAGCTATTTTTTTCATACAAAATTGAGTGACTAATTTTTGAACACTGATTTTTAGGGAATTAAACCACAAGTCTTTAGAGATGCGAAATGGGATTTCAGTGAAAAAAGTTATTGCCTTAAAAGTGCTGGCTTTAGGTACCTTTTTAGCACAGCCATTTTTCGAAAATTTGGAAAGGGCCCAAAATACAAACCAAGTTGAAAACACAGATTTTTAGAGAATTAAACCACAATCATTTAGAAGTATGCCACTATGTAATCGGATGTCTGTAAGAAAAGTTTTGGGCTTAGATGTGCAGTTTTTTGACACTTTTCTGCAAACCCATTTTTTGAAAATTTGGAAACGGGTTACATCATTGAAAATGACGAATAATCGACAAAAAAAAAAAAATGTAACTAAAAACACAGATTTTTAAAGAATCTAATCACGATCATTTTAAAGTATGCCACTTTGAAATCGGATGTCTGTAAGAAAAGTTATGAGCTTAGAAATGCAATCAATGGAAAACAAATTTTTAAACAAGATTTGAATTGAAAGATTGGAAGATTAGAGTTGAAGGTTTTAGAGAATTAAAGCACAATATTTTAGAGGTTACTACTTTAAAATCGGATTTAAATTAGGAAATTTATGGGCTTAGAGGGGCAGGTTTTAAGTCACTTTTCTGAAAAGCCATTTTTCGAAAATTTAATAAACAAAAATGTTTATAAAAACGAACAACTTAAGACACAACAGTTATGAGTAAGGAAAGTAAGTAGGTAAGTTCTCAATCGATTAACAACAAAAGTCAATAAAGTCGTGAGGAACAGGTGAAATTGCCAAAACAGGTGTGTAAATAAGCGAACTAAGGATGTCCAAGTTGCTAAAAGGGGTTCGCAAAAGAGGAACATTAAATGTTTTTGTAAAGGTCCATGGTATAAAGGCACAATTGGAACTTTTACGTGTTTAAAAATCATACCTTTATGCCATACCATACGAAAAAAAAGAACAAATAGAGCAACAATTTATACACGTGTGAAATGCGTAGGGTAATTAAAATGAAGTTTGGCACTAAGTTACGAAACTTGTATGCAAACAACAATAGAAATTTATAAAACTTTCTTTTTGAGTTTAAAGGTTATAATGATAGTGATAAACTATCTTATTGGGTTGGTAATGTGTTGAACTCTAAGTTTTAGCAAATAACATTAAGCTAATTCCTATTATATGGGCTTGATAACTCAAAATGTTTTCAAGGCATCAGTTTTTTTATATTCTTAGCTATACTGTGGATTCTGTGGGTGGTAAAGAATAAGTTTATATGGAAACTTAGCTCAGGATCATCCAAACCTCATAGAAAAGTACAAATGATATGTAAATGTTTGTGACTGTGTAGTCGAAGAAGGAGCTTCTTTAACAATATTGTGTTAGTCTATATCTCTGATTCCAATACAGTACAACAACACCATTAATATATCTTAACATCTGTATTTATATCACGTGTTTGGGTATTTTGCAGATGCCATCCCGTGCTTTGAGCTCGATGCAGAAGCTGACGGCCCTGGACTTCGACTACAACGAGATCGTGCGGGTGGAGGACTACAGCTTCTACGGACTGCGGCTCTCCAAGCTGAACCTCAAGGGCAACCGGCTGCAGGGGATGACGGAGCACGCGTTCGCCGGACTGGAGGAGTGCATGCAGGAGATCGATGTGTCGGAGAACGGACTGCGCACCTTTCCACTGATGGCGCTCCGCAAGTTGGACCACCTGCGGATCCTGCGGCTCTCAAACAACCGGATACCCACCTTCTACGGCGACATCCAGTTGGCCACCAACAATGCCTCGGCGGCGGCAGCTGCGGCCGGAGCCTTCCAGCTGCCCTCCCTGATCTTCCTGGACCTGAGCTCCAACCAGTTCGCCGAGATCGGGGACGACTGCTTCAGGGCCTTTCCGCAACTGAAGACGCTCTCCTTCTACGCCAACCAGATCGAGTTGGTCCAGCCGGAGGCGTTCAAGAGCCTGCGAGAGTTGATGTCACTGGATATGTCGCACAACCGGATCATCACACTGGATCCCAAGGTCTTTGCGCGGAACAAAAGGCTGCAGACGGTGGACCTCAGCCACAACCACATCCACGCCATCGGAGGAGTGTTCTCCGATCTGCCCCAGTTGCGGGAGGTCTTTCTGAGCGAGAACAATATACTGGAGCTGCCGGCGGATGCGTTCACCAACTCCACCAATGTGGATGTCATCTATCTGGAGTCCAATGCCATCGCCCACATAGACCCCAATGTCTTCAGCACGCTGGTCAATCTGGATCACCTGTATCTGAGGAGCAACTTCATACCCCTTCTGCCTGTCACGCTGTTCGACAAGAGCACGAAGCTGACGTCGCTGTCGCTGGACAACAATGAGATCCAGGATCTGGAGATAGGCATGTTCAGGAAGTTGGAGCACCTGCGCGAGGTGAGGCTGCACAACAATCGCATCCGGCGGGTGAGGAAGGGCGTGTTCGAGCCGCTTCCTGCCCTCCAGGAGTTGCACATCCAGAAGAACAGCATCGAGGACATTGAGCCGCAGGCCTTTCACACGCTGGAGAACATGCAGCACATCAATCTGCAGGACAACCAACTCACCGTGCTGGAGGACATCTTTCCGGACGACAACTCCTCCCTGCTTTCGGTGCAACTGGAGGCCAACTACCTGCACAAGGTTCATCCGCGCACCTTTCGTCGCCAGCAGAAGGTGCAGATCATGTGGCTGAAGGACAACCAGTTGGCCAGAGTGGAGCGATCCTTCTTCGCCGATACTCCCCAGTTGGGCAGGCTGTACCTCAGCGATAATCGAATCAGGGACATTGAGAAGGACACGTTTGCCAACCTGCTACTCCTGCAGTTTCTCGACCTGAGCGGCAACCAGTTGAGGCAACTGAGGAGGGACTACTTTGCACGGCTCCAGGGTCTCGAGGAGCTCAGTCTGGCCCGCAATCACATCGAGGCCATCGAGGGCTATGCCTTCGCCAAGCTGAAGAGCCTCAGGTCCCTGGACCTGTCGCACAATCCGTTGGTGCAGCTGACACGCGATGTCTTCCTGGACGAGCTGCCCCTGAACTCGCTGAGTTTGGCCAACTGTTCGCTGAGGAAGCTGGAACAGCATGCCTTCAAGTCACTGACCAACCTGAATGAGCTGAATCTGGAGAGGAATCAATTGAATCCGGCGGACATCCAGAAGCTGGACATACCGAATCTGAGGAGGCTGCTGCTGAACCACAACAACTTCAGTCATGTGGGCTCGGGTGGCATAATGGCGGGCATGTTCGATCGACTGCGATCCCTGCAGCAGCTCTCCATGTTCAATTGCAGTTTGGGCCAAATACCGGACCTGCTCTTTGCCAAGAACACCAATTTGGTGAGACTCGACCTGTGCGACAACAGGCTCTCGCAGATGAATCGCAACATCTTCAGTGGGCTGAATGTGTTCAAGGAGCTGAAACTGTGCAGGAATCAGCTCTCCGAGTTCCCGCACATAGCCCTGTACAATCTGAGCACCCTGGAGACCCTGGACTTGGCCAGGAATCAGTTGGCCTCCATTGACTTCTTCAAGCTGAGCGGCACCCTGAATCTCAGACAGCTGATCCTGCGGGACAACAAGATCACCGCTCTGAGCGGCTTCAATGCGGTGAACCTAACCCAGTTGGACAGTGTGGATCTGAGTGGCAACCTGCTGCTCTCATTGCCGGCCAACTTCCTGCGGCATTCGATCAACTTGCAGAAGGTCGACTTGTCCAGCAATCGATTCCTGCAAATACCCTCCTCCGCACTGTCGGATGTGTCCATTCCCCGTTTGTCGTGGCTGAACCTGACCGGGAACCCTATCAACAGGATTTACACGGTCAAGGAGGAGAGGTATCCCTACCTGAAGGAGCTGTACATCTGCCAGACGAACCTTTCCATACTGACATCGAAGGATTTCGAGGCCTTTCAGGCCCTGCAGCACCTGCATCTGGTGAACAACAGGATCACCAGGATCTCGCCGGGTGCCTTCAAGTCGCTGACCAACCTGCTCACCCTGGACTTGAGTGTCAATGAGCTGGAAATGCTGCCCAAGGAGCGATTGCAGGGACTGCAACTGCTGCGCTCGCTCAACATTTCGCACAACACCCTCAAGGATCTGGAGGAGTTCAGTGCCGACCTCTCGGAGATGCAAACCCTGGATCTGAGCTTCAACCAGCTGGACCGCATCTCGAAGAAGACCTTCAGGAATCTGCAAGGACTGCTGGAACTGCTGCTCATGGGCAACCGGATGACGGTCCTCTCGAACGACGCGTTCCGGTTCTTGAGGAAACTGCACGTGCTGGATCTGCGCAAGAACTACTTTGAGCTGGTGCCATTGGAGCCACTGAAACCGCTGGAAACCAATCTGAGGACTCTTAAACTGGAGGGTAAGTACTCCTCCCAAGGCACAAAAATTCAAAAATAGTTGAGACTCAGTGTTATTTTTACGGGCTTACCCTTTTTTTTATTTGCTATATTTTATAATTTTTAACAATATTATAATACTACATATTATGTTTTTTAAATCAAAATTTTAGGAAAAAATTGTCTAAGCTTGGGACCTCTTTAAAATCGTTTTTTAAATTGTCCTTGAGGCTGACATATTTTTCCTGACCGATTTTCGCAAAAATCATGAAGTTATGAGAAATGCGAAAATCGGCCAACAAATACAATTAATAATTAAATCGGATAGTAATGCGGATTGATAGTTTCAGTTTCTGCTTTGGGTCTTTTTTGTTCAAGTTACAACAAACAATCCTTAACAAATTTAATAATTTTGTAAAAGCACTGAAAAAACCAAATCGAGTAGAAATCTGAACTCACCAAGAGTGCAACCAGATTAATCTATAACGTTAAATGAATATGAACTGCCACTTATTTATCAACATTAACGAAACAAGAAATCTAGTTGGGTAAATTGCAATTAAATATTATAGAAGCTATCATTTAAGCGATCTTTATTTTATATCTCACCAATGACGACCCTGTTTTCGCCCTGTGTACCTGTGTGTCAGCCCGTTGTCATGGCCAATTTGTTGCTTATTGCGTGCTCGTTTCAGAGAATCCACTGCATTGCAGCTGCGACGCCCAAAAACTGTGGGAATGGCTGCGGGATCATCGCAAATGGTCGCTTTCCACGGGCTCCGGCGCCGCGGGGGGAGTGGGCGGAGGGGGCGGCGGAATGGGCGGCGATTCCATTAATTACCTGAAGTGCGAACACCCGACGGAGCTGCGGGGCAAGGTGTTCGGCCGGATGGAGCCGCAGCAGTTCTGCGACGCCCCGCTAATACCCAAAATGGCCATCCAGGACATCCAGCCCTACTCGGTGGTCGTGTCCTGGCAGAGTCGCGACCATTTGGGCCTCAATGGCTTCGAAATTGTTTACCACGCCACCGGCGACGGGCTCGTTCCGGCCGGATCTTCAACGGACCGTGAGCGGGAGCGGGAGCGGGACGGAGAGAGGGGTCATGACCCGGACAGGGAGCGGAACCAGCACCAAAACCGGAATCGGAATCCTGAGCAGGACCTGGAGCAGCGGGCACGGGAAAGGGAACGGGAGCGCGAGAGGGAGCGGGACAGGGAGCGGTTCCCCATCGCCACGGATGAGGTGAGTGCCCGCCTACACTGGGAAATACATTTATGATCATTGGAATATTTTTTATTAAAAATAAAACTCTTAACATAATTATTTACGACTTTAGTAATTTGAAATGAAAATTTGTTGTTACAAAATATTTTTTTCCGTAAAGAAATTTAAATTTTTCACAAAACCACTGTAAGATTAGCATTATAATTTTATTTTAGTTGCCTTTTTCTCCTAAAACTAAAAATGCAAACATACAACTTTTTAGAAATATTTATAAAAATAGACGTTATTAACAAATTTGCATCCTTATTGAAAATATGTTTAGGGCTTAAAATGAAACTTTAAATTTTTTCTAAAGACAATAGAAAATTAAAAGAAATTACTTTAAGAAAAAAAATTCTTATTTTCGGCCACGGATATTCGTAATATTTTTTCAGTGCAGCAAACTTAAAACTAATTTGACGGTCTGCGCTGCCGGCTGATTCCTCGTAATTTCTTTTAATAAACGTTTAATCTAGAGCTCGCTTTCTGTCAGGTTGTTCAGCGAGATTCGGGAGGAGAAGGTAGAAGTGGACATTGCGCCACATTGGATCGACGATAAAGCTCCGAAATTGCAATCCAAAATTTAACTTTGTCCTTTGGGCGCACAGTGTTTTGAAATGTCGAAAAATGGATATAAAATAACTCTTAGCAAATACATTTTTTTTAATTTAAAAACGTTCATATTTAAATAAAACTAAACCAACACATGACGAAGGCCTCCAAATCAAAACTCTTTAATAAAGAACTTTTCTTTATTTTTTTTTTAATAAAATAAATTTAGTGTTTTAAAATGAAAGTTAAAGTGAATCAAGCTTATATTATTTTTATTGTATTGCAATTGGTTTTCTGCAAAGGGGCTTATAATGTTAATTACTTTTAATTTTTTGAGAAAAGTTTTCAACGTTTTGAATTCTGAAAATGTTTTTACTCAAATTTGTAAGTATTATTTGTAGCTCTTAAATTAATTTGGTTAATTAACTACATATAAATATTTTACTATTTATAGAAAAAACTAAAAAATGTGGTATAATTCGTTGATAATTTAAAACACAACTAAAGCCCGCTGCTGTGAAGCATTGTTTTGAACTCTTTCCTTAATGGCCATCTGTACCACTGAATTAATCCAAAGCCTCTTGGCACTTTTGTCCGTATTTCCGAGGAAACCAGTGCCAGCTGGTCTGCCAATTAGCCACTAGCCCATCGATAAATCCCCTTTAGAACGCAGAGCTCCCTGCCACTGTCCGCTCATTACAATTTCTAACCCCGTAAGACCCGTAAGACCCATGAAGTGGCACACTGTGCCACTGGAAAGTCGAGGGCCGCAGGGAAAGTTTTTAATAAAGCGACACGGCATCGACATCGGCGATGCTGATGAAAACGAGAATGAAAATGAGAATGAAAATGAGAATGAGAATGGAGTAGACAATGGATGACAATAACCGGCTGGCGACCTGCTTAATTTATTCCACAGATCCACGGCAAGCGGCTAAACGGCACGGCCAGCTCGACCAAGTTAACCAAGCTGAGCCCCAATACCCGCTATCACATCTGCGTCATCGGGAGCGGTAATTGGCTCTCGGAGCCGCTGGCGAACGCACTGCAGCGGCTCCACGCCAACGAATCCTTGCGGGAGGAGGAGGCGGTGATGATGTCGGCGCCCCTGCCGGACTCCTTCTCGCCGTATCAGCACCAGCATCAGCACACTAGGAACACCAATGCTGCGATGATTCAGGACCAGAATCAAGATGCGGACCTGGACAATGCCATCGGTGTGGACCACGCCCTGATGGAGGTGCTCAAGAACTCGCACATCTCCGCCTGCACGGATGTGCAGACCCTGGACTCCACGCCCAGTTTGGTCACCGATGAGAACGGGCTGTCCAGCAATGGGTTCATACACTCCATCCTGACCAGAAGATTGGGCCTGATAGTGGGCTGCTGTCTGGGCATCATCGTCTTCATTGTGATGATCTCCGTGTTGAGCTATGTGAAGCTGAAGAAGCAGCGCATCGAGAATGCCAAGAGGCAGGCCGCCCTGCCGCCGGAGTATATATCCTATCGGCACTTCTCCATTCCCAACGAGGAGCTGACCAGGACCGCGGCCACTGCAGGAGCAGCTGCGGCAGCGGCGGCCCAGGCGGCACAGGCTGCGGCGAATAAGTCCGGCGAAGTTGGCAGCTCGCCGCACATGTCCAGTGTGCCCAGCGGCATAAGTGCGCACATTAGTGGGACCAGCCTGAGCACAGGTGGCACGGGCACGGGCACTACCACCACCACGGCCACTACGCCCATTGGGGGCGTGCCCATTATGGGCGTGCCCGTGCCGCTTGGCAAGGGCGGCAGTCCGCTGGTGGGCTTGGTGGTGGACAGCGACCACGCCCACAATCACACCCACAACCACGGCCATGCCCACAGGCAGAATAACGGTTACATGGCCGCGGGGGTGGTGCTCAATACAAACCACTTGAGCGTGTGTTAGTCGCACCACCAAAAATTCCAAGTAAATAATTAAAGCAGGGGGAGTCTGCCCCAAAGAATCGAGCGGGATATGGTGGCAAGTGGGGGGGTGTTGAATTTAAAAAAAAAAATACATTTCAATACATTTCACAAATTTCCGCATTCATCCTGATAACTATCCTTTGTCCTTGGATAAAATACCACACGTACGTTGCTACGGTTTAAAATGATTAGACGTTCAATTTAAATTATTTATTTTACCTATCAAAGGACGTTCGTTTAGGATTGAATCGAACTTAGTTGTTGAACGTCACAAAAATCTTGAGATCATAAAGGTTATCTAAAAACGCAACCGTATCAATTTTTACAAGTAGCTCACATTTGACCAAACTATCAACGCTGTTAATTCTGATAATTGCAATCGTCACTAGATAAATACCATATGTATTGCTAAGAGCATTTATAGTAATCATTTATTTTAAAGTAAATGTGTTTTATTAAGTTAACTAGTTGCAGTTGTAAACCAAAACTTAGATAGTGAGGCAATTATTTGAAAAAGTACTAAACAAGTATGAATTATAGTATATTAACTTATGCCAAAAAATCCTAACAATGTAATCAGAAAGTCGAGAAACTGTTTGAACTGTGTTAAATAATATCACTTACTACATTTTTAGAAAATTATTTGAGTTCCCGCAAATACTGAGTTGATATCCAGCTCAACTGATAATACCCAAAAATAATCGCTTACTCATTCGAGAATAAATGAGTTTTAAGAGGATCTACCGCATGTGTGGTCTCTACTTTTGCCATTCAAAAATAAAATCCGATTTTAATAATGAAATGGATGGCGTGATATATTGAAATTTTAAGTGAATTAAGTGAATTCAACCACTTCAGCACCCCCCTTCAAATCAAATCTGCAACCCAACAAAACAAAAAATAAAAGGCGCAAAAGCTCGCATATTTCATATTTCAAATGGAGTCAAAAACTTTTGCCAATCAGAGCAATTGCAATGGAATTTTTATGTTTTCAATGTGCCCAAAATGCATTTAATTTACGATTGAAAAAACTAAAACCAACAAGCCCAAAAAAAGGTAAAGAATGATAAATATAGAAAAAGAGAGAAAATCTAGGTTAGTGATAATCATGATGATGCGTTCAACGTTCGTTTAGTTATGACAATTGAAAGTAGAGCACTATGCGAAAATCTAAAAGCGGTCGGCATCGCGGAATTTTCAATGTAAATAAAGTGAAATCAAAGCGAAATCTCAGCCGTAAATGTTGCATCTAAATCAAATTAAGCTCCATATAAAGCTATCTATAAGAACTACACACACATGGCCATATATCTACATATATATAAATAAACGTATATATATTAATAAAAATATATATACCTGTAATGGAAAACACACAAACACAGACGTTTTTTTTGAGCTAGAATTAGTGAATGAATGAATGATCGAATTTTTTTTTTTTTTTAGACCTGCGCTGAGAAATCCAAGATGGACTAGATATATAAAACGATATGAAAGCGACAAGACATATTACCAAAAATAAGTAACTAATTATATTGGGGTAAAACAATAAAATTAACTAGTTTAAGTGCAGGCCCCCAAAGTATGCATATTTGTTAGCAGAACTCAAAGAGTTTCATATATAAATATATACATACTTTTTTTTTCTGATAGTTAACTATATATGGTTTTCCTATTTTTCGATTTGAAAAACAAATTAAGCTTTAGTCGAGGAATGGAAAAACACATAACGATTTACTTTAGCAAATAAATATTATGCATAATGACGAAAACCAGATGCAGAAGCAAAACCAAAATAATAGTAATAATAAATTGGCTAAAGAATTTCTAGAAAATTAAGTCAAATCAAATTAAAACGAAACACAGAAACACACATTCGCACACAGAAACACACAGCCGAGGCGAGGAGATTTCCTAACTTTCCGGCTCCCCCTTTTCTCCTTGTGTACGTCTCTGTGTGTCTGGGCTTCTCAAATATTTTAATATTGTTATATGCAAAACACAACATGCATGCTGGCAAACTTAAGAAGCAAACGATAACAATGGCCAGAGGAATAAGAACGCAAAATGAAAATGAAAATCAAAAAATCGAACTTAAGACAACATGAAATAAACAAAAAACAAGACAAAGAAACCCCAAAGAAAAAAATAAGTATAACATTTAACAAAAAGCTTTGTTATGCTCTACAAAAAGAACAACACAAAAAAATGCATTCGCTGCCATGCCAAAAACCCTTCTCTTCAATTCTAGTTAAATTGTAGGGCATAAAAAGCAAAAACACAAAATACACACAAACTGCAGAGGTAAAAATTAAACAAACATACAGCAAACATGCAATAAATGTAATAAATTAAAACCTAAAAAACCAAAATATTGTATGGCAAGCAACACAAAGTAAAATATTAATAAATGACAAGAAACTTTCAAATAAAAGCAAACACTATTTTCATTTGATTGCAGCGGATATTTGCACACGGTATTGTATTTGGCCACTGCCCCAAAAATTTCACCCATCACCTGTGTTTACCCACTGACAAAATGCCGCATTATGCTGACTATAACTATTTACAAAGCACAATGATTCTTCGTTTTTTGGTGACAAAGGAACGCGTGAACAGCGCGATTGGGTGATGATTTTAGGAACACAGTGCGTATGAGTAATATGTTTGAGGCGTTCGACTTATAGCTCACTATATTTTGTTATTTGAATATTTTATTGTTTCTCTTACCACTCGTTTACAAAAGAAGAACAGAAGCTACTGAAAATTGATGACAGCATGCACTGCGCAAAAATACATATGACAGCTAACAGATATTTTAAAATTAATGAATGGATCCGAACTGATATAAAACTATCAGCAATTTGTTTAAAGGAATCATTGACAACCATTTTCAATTGAAATTAAAAAAAAATAAGCTTTGTTGATTTAATTTAAGATAGTTAGATTCTATGGAAAAATTGTCCAGACTTGGAGAAAACATGTCCAAAAAATAAAAGGCCTTAAGTGTGAAGGTTGTTGATAGTTTGGGGCCTTGGTAAAACAAATCAGTACGTTCTTTAGCTTTGGGTTAAAATCGAGTAGAATATTTAACGTTGATTCTATATACTACAAGACATGGTAGTCAAGAATATGTTCCTTAATTTCTGCTTTTAGACACGCTTCGTTTACTTTCAATCAAACTGCATACTTGTGTTTAAAGAACAAAAAAAAATACTTTTAAGATCGAAAACTATCTATTAAAATAGTTGCCCTTTTTAATGGTAAGCTTTAAGACTTGCGTTACATGGAAAAATTGGACAAATAAATGCCAGAGTTCATCATCGAACTCCGAACCAACTCCACTTGACTGCTGCTCATTTCAGTGGGTCACATGCACAAAACCTGGCTTCTACTTAATTTTATTTATTTTTATTTACATGCACTTGCCGTACAGCATCTCCTGGGGGTTTTCATTTTATACCCTCTACTCGAAGAGTAAAGTAAAGTATATCATATTCGTTAAAAAGTATGTAACATGTAACAATAAATATATAAATAAAATAAAACCTATATTCTTTAACAGACGAGTCAATCTTTGTGCCACACTTTTGAAAGAGAAATGTTGTTTGTCTTAAAATATTTACCTTTATATCCAATTACTGATGGAAATGCCCACATGTTAATAGTAATTTGTTAATTTTGATCTGCCCTTTAAAGACTTATTGAATCATTCCATATTTACAATTTACCCACAAATGGTTGTTTATTTTTGCATATAATTAAACTTACGTGCAGTTTGAGTAACGGGTATTTTAAAGTCGGGGATTTCAACTACAGCGTTTTTTCTTGTTTTTGTTGCAAATTTTAATTAAATGGAAATTTCCGCTGTCTTGAGCACGTTTTCTCATCAACGGCATTAAATGCTATGCAGAATTTTAATTAGGCTCGCAACACACACCCACAAATATATGTAAACTCGACGGTGGGTAAATGCAACAGGGATTCCAGTGCGAAAATGCTCCTTGGCGCGAAATTGAGTCCTGTCCACAGCAGCCCAAAACAAATCACAGTGTATCAACAACTAAGCCAAGTGCAAACAATGAAATTGGGCCACCAAAATGACGCGACTGGAATCTATTTAGCCTGCAACAATAAGTAGTAAGCCGCCTAAGTTGTTTAATTAAAGCAAACTTTAATTGGCAAAATTTCCAGCTCCTGCGCTTCCGAATTTCTCCTCAAATTTTCCACCGCTCCTGACCATTGTAAATATGTCGCACTAATTGAAAATAATCAAACGGATGGCGTTAGTCCATCGAAGTTAATTGGCTAACATGGCATCGGGTAAAAAACCGAACACTTCGACGTGTTGTTAGTAGTTGAAGGTAAAGAAAATAGGAATCACATGGAAGAGAACAAACACTACAGACTTTCAATTAAAATTCCCATTAGTAACAGAATTGAAAAGGCTCTAGGGCATTCCTTGAGGATATACGTTTTACGTTGGCGTTAAAAGTCATGGTACAAACAGTTTTTTAGAATGGCTGGCAGAAATATAAGTAATTTTAGTAGAATAGAATAACTCGTCCATCGTTTAAGTATTGAAAACACAAGAAAAGCTCCGCTTAACCAGTGCTATGTGTGCATTTATCAAATATATATTCGCTGATGGAGTGAGAAATGCTGTATTCTACACCTCAACTGAAAAAACGTGTATCCGAAGGGCCTTCAAAACGAAATTTATGACATAAATTTGTACACGAAACGTATGTTTTGTCATGTGGCCATTTATTGTCCGCGCCTCGCCATTTTCAACGTACATATGTCCTCTCCACTCGCCTCGCCTTTTTTCTCTACAACTTGTCCCAGCAAAATTGGCTTTTTGTTCTACTTTTTTTTTTTTTTGTTCCAAAAAATATCTTTGTTTGTTTTGCAACTTTTGTGCATTTTTTGTGGGGAGCTGGGGGAAAAAAGTGCAAAAACTAGAGGGAAAAATTGAGCTGTCATCAGGCATAAAAATATGTGTGTATAACAAACGGAATGACACTTGAAATGGTGTTCCACAGAGGGGCAATGGATGAAAGGTAAGGTTATGTGCAGACAAAGTTTGAATCCCATAAAGCCGATTCTTTTGTAATGTTCAGTGGCGGAATCCCTTTGACTGATCCGCACCACAACATAAGCTGCAATTCCTACAATCGATATATTACCAAACAAGGCTAAATGTCAAAGGTTTTTTCTGTGTCAACTAGGTCAGTTACAAACTTGGTTTTGTTATTCTATTAAATTATACACATATTTGTTTAAGATATATCCCAAAAGCAAGACATTTTTAAAAGGAATTTGTAGCACTTTAGAATATTTTTCAAGAATGTAAAAAGCACACTCGCCTTAAAAAGCCGAAAAAAAGTTTATTTATTAGTTGGGAAAACTCTTAAGACAAAAGCAATTCAAGTCATTTGTTTTATCTAATCGAAGGACTATCTGTAACTATTTATCAATATACATATATATTTGAGGCTGGCGAAATTTGGCTTGGGAAATCCTTTTAAATCAAAAAGTTGGCCAATTTTCGACTTCATTTCTGTCGCCGCTGCCTTGGTGCGAATATTTTGCGCGCTTCATTGATTTAATGGAAAAACTTTTTGCCCAGTTTTGTTACTTTTTTGTTGTCCTTGCCGTTGTTTACGAATGCTATATACATATGTTTATACATACACATGGAGGGCTGCCCACAAATCGCCGCCCATAAATCGAATCGAGTCGGTTTGGTCAGGTCCGTGGCTATCATAAAAACAATATGTATGCTGGATATTGTTGGAGCCGCGGTTATAGTTTCTGTCTGATTTGGCCAGAGGTCCATACTGTTTATAATAATTCTCAATAGTTTTGCGATGTTCATGTGCGAAATATGTTTTTCCTCCATCTGTTATGCTGTGGCACAGCTTTCCATATTGCCGGATTTTTGATTGCTAAGATGTAGGTCACGGGTTTTTTAAAACGTGAATAGCTGTACAAAACAATAATCCTTTTTTATATAATGAAATCGGTAAACACCAATTAACCTGATTTGTACATTAAATGTAGCTATCGTGTTTAATGTTTCTTATAAAAGAAATATTTATCTTTTTTTATTATTTCTGTGAATAACAAATATTCGGTCAGACCGACTTGGAGTCGATCTAGCCATAACCGTCTTTCCTTTCCGTCTAACCTTTTCTTGGCAAACTTGTCCCTCAGCTTTAAAGCTATTTGGATTCGATTTTTCGTCATTTGCTGAAAAGTGACCAAAAACCTGCACTTCTAAGACCATTCGTACAGACATCCTATTTCAAAGTGGGACACCTGTAAACGATTGTGGTTTAATTCTCTAAAAATCTGTGTTCTCAGCTTGGTTTGTATTTTTGGGTCAATTTTTCGTAATTTTTTTATCCTTTCCAAATTTTTGAAAAAGGCTTTGCAATGGCCCAACTCTTTTCTTACAGACATCCGATTGGTAAGTGGCATACTTCTAAATAATTGTGATTAAACTTCGCATTGGTTTTATGAGAAAATGATTAAAAAAACAAGTGTTTGTAGTGTTTTACAGAATTTTAGCATGAAAACAAAATAATCTTTCACTAAGTCCGCTTGTGAAATTATTTAAAAACTGTTTGGAAAATAATCAACAAGCGATTCTGCGAAATTGCGTAATTTTTGCAGCTGCAGTTTAAACAGTTTAGTGTCGCCATTACCTGTTTTCCCTCCGCATTTCGCAAACATTTGATGGCACTTGGCCACAGATTTTTACGCCCATAATATCCTCGATATGTGTGCGTGTGTGTGTGTGTGTCCCAATGGGCCTGTGTGGGTGTTGTGTGTGCGTGTCTGTGTGATTTGAGGGGGATTCCCATTCTGGCATTCCATTTGACTTGCCATTCCGCGGGGAATTCGACGTGTGAGATGTGTGTAAAAATGCTGAAACATTTGAATACATCAGTGTGGGTGGCAGTGTATCTGTGTGCATGCTTATACATATATGCATGTGTGTGTGTGTGTTTATTTGCCTGTGCGTATATACATATATATGGCAATCCAAGTACAAATCACATTAGTGGATGATCAGAGAGCCGGGTAGTGAGCTGACGGCCCAACGAGGGAATCAAAGTCATGTTTGACAAGGAAACTCCATTAAAAATGCAACTTTTAAATTTTCCAGCGGTAAATGAGCGGGCGAAACAACCGTAACAACAACAAACAACTGACAACAACCGAGCAACAGCGTGCCCGTTATTATGCTGTTTCTGCAGCTGCCATTGGTTTTTATAGCTGCTTACAGTTGAGCGAGCGAATCGAAGGACCCACGGCTGCACTCGAAA